CATGACTTCACCAAGCTTCAACTCTTTCATTCATTAAAAACATTTTCCCTGAAAGTTAGAATAGTTAGCAACAGCGCTGTTAATGTGGACTAGTGAGTAGATGAGTTTACCTTGTTAATGTCCCCTTCAACCACTTGTTAGCAATCATTGGTTTCAAGCCAAGTGAAAGCTTAAAAAAAAAAAAAAAAGGTATTACTGATGTATTTTGTCATAAACTTAACACCGAAATATCTTGAGCTTGTTCACACCACAGACCTTATTTCATGCTTTTAACCAAAAGCCCATTGAAGGTAATGGAACCAGAAGTGCTAAAATGCCAATTAGTTTGCAGGTTCCGTCCCTGCAGCCCTTTATATAAACATTGGAAAATTCATTACCCATTTATAGACACTGCAGTGTGTATTTGTGCGCATTCTGAAGGGTCAAAGATTATATTGTATCATTATAGCTCTGCGCATATAACGCCACACCAATGCTGCTTGTGAAGGAGCTACATGAATAAAGTTCAGCACAACCCGTTTTTAAAGATGGTGTTCAAGAACACAAATGGTCAAGTTTTGTGACTAACATGTTGGAAGCCTCCACTCTAAATTTAAACTTAATGCTGCTACTTTATACAGTACAGTTCTGGCAACCATGGGGTTGGTTTCACTGCAAGTTTAACACTGATGACATTGCAGCAACCTTTGAGCTGACGGTTAACCATATCCTAATCACATCTAAAGAGCTTTAAACCACTGACCCCTCCCGCCAAACTTGAGGAAATTCAATTGCACGGTTGAAGAGGTAAAACTCTTTATTTGGTATACAAGTGCACAAATAAAACACAGCAGTGAATAAAAACGGTTGAAGAGCCTGCGTCACTTTTTCCCTCGTTTCCCCGGGCCTTTGGTAGTGGCTGCAGCACCCTTTTCTCCAGAATCACCCTCCTCTGCCTTTGTGGTTTTCTTTCCAGCTTTCTTAGCTGCTGGTTCCTCACCTCCTTTTGATGCTTTAGAAACTTTAGCTTTGCTCGGTTTGGGCTCAGTTCCACCCTCCCCTGCAGCATTCTTCGCCTTTGGCTTCTTAGCAGGGGCCACTTTTGAGGCAGTGCCATCTTTCTCAGGCATCTTAGGCTTAGCATCCTAAGAGAACGGGAGGAGAGAGAGCGAAAGGGTGGGTGCGTTTTCAGACTACACAGCTGAGCGTCTGCTCATGTAGAAGGCAAAAATTAGACCTGAAACTCACGTCTGCAGTCTCCTTTTTCTTCACGGACTTTTCTTTGCTTGCTCCTTGAATGGAGAAATGGGGAAGAAAAACCCAACGGGGTAAAGTTCATGCTAAAACACATGGTTACACATTTAAAACTCATCTCCCATTAAAAAAAAAAAAAAAAGGCAGCATTCACGAATAACTGCCACAACTAGTATAATTTCAGCACAGGCTAGACTCCCAATGGTGAACGCCAAGGGCTTTGAGTTCTAAGGCCCATTTACACCAATAATGAGTTTTGTAAAGCATAACGATAGGTTTATTCTCAGCGCTGAATTTTGATCAACATAACTGCAGTGCTTGTCAAATTCAGTAAAAGCTCATTAACTAGAGAAACCTCAAGTGAAAGTTTTCCCACTGTGCCACAGTTTCTTTAAAAGAGAACTCTTAAGGAACATGCCTCGAAAGACACATTAAGTTGTAAAGATAAAGGGACTAAGGTCTTACAAGAAAACAGCACTTCAGTCATTCTACTCAGCTTCATATTTAATTCAATGCATTACTTTCCAATTCCTTGGTAATGTGTAATAGCAATTTCCAACTGAATGGTTTTTTAAAGTAAATCCTACAGCAAACTTTCCTCAGTGTACACTGAAAAAAATGATTATGGCCCCAATTAAATTAAGCATAATTCAATTTAGCTAGTTTAAAGCATTTAAATTTAGTTTTTGATTTTAATTAATAAATATTCATTGGTATTATGCAAATTACATGTGTTTTAAATCCAAGCCATGTGAATTAATTAAATTCAGTTAGAAAATATTAAGTTGGTTCGGTGCGCATGCGCACAAATGCACACTTTCCCTGGCGCCAAAAGGAGTTTCCAGTCCAGTCAGGTTCACGGTGGGAAGTTGAACTGAAGACATTTTCATTCCAGCCCCGGAGTTTTCATCATTCGGTCTATTTACACAGTAAGTAATATTTGATGTAATACAGCACCATTTATTACAGTGAATAGTTTGTTTGCTCTATAAATAATATAATATGCTCTAGTCTAGTTCAGAACGAGTCTTTGGGATAAATTCCCCAGCGACCAACGGTCACATCCTACTCCGAGCGCGCGCACACACAAATAACGCAAATATAACTTTTTATGTGACGAAATATATTTTTTAAGATAGTTTTGGATGAAAATGTAGATTTATAAGCTTAAAATTCGCCGTTTATTTGTAACGACAGCTCCGTAACGTATTTTTAAAAATTGCTTAAGTGCTTTCGGAGATGCGAGCTCCAGGCCGCAACGGCTGTTCCCGCCTAACGTTTTACCACAGCCAGTCCTTCGGGAAGCTGCCGGTTTCTAGTGTGATTAAACATGAGATATAAATCGTTTTGGACGGGTAATCTTTAATCTTCTTAATGATTTGTTCTAGAGCAGTTTGTTTTGGCGGTGGGTAAGGTAGTTCTAGCAGCGGCGGCTAGTCGGGGGAGGGACAGCTTCTCCAAATATTGAGGTGAAAATGGGAGGAGGAAGATTTAATGTTAATAAAATTCACAATTCATGTCTCTGATAGAGAATGGGAGGGGGAGGCCGGGGGAGAGTTGAGATCTCCTGCCTCCGTTGGTAAAAAAAAAAAA